TTTAAGTACTTGTTCAAAACATTATCTTGAATATTAGTTATTAGATAAATTTTCTAGTTGCTTGGTTATGGAAAGGTTATATCACACTAATAATTCTGATCCTCCTGTACCTCCCATGTTTCCAAGTAACCGTCCTACTCAGAGAGGTAAAGAGACTGAGTATGAGGCAAGTCTAATGGCCAAGGGTTCTTTTATCTTGGGGTTGAAAATAAAATCTGTCACTTAATTCAGCTAAAGGATATTAAACAGGGGCTGGCAGGTGGTGTGGGGGTTAAGGTGCTGAACTCTCACATGGCTGACAACTGTTTGAGTCCCAGATCTAGTGGTTTGCTTTCTCACTTTCTCTTTCTCTCTATCTCTCTCGATAAATTAAAAAAAAATAATAAATAAATAATTATTAGAAACATTAAACAGTATTTGAAACCATACGGCTTCTGGAGTTATAAAATTATATAAAATTATAAGACATATTTTGAACATTATCTTTAAAATTCAATATTTTGAAAATTTTTTTTTTTTTTTTGGAGAGGTTTTTCACTATAGGGCGCGTGCGCTCGCCAGACAGGCTGGTTCCCAATATTTTGAAATTTTGAAAGTTGTTTGTAAACTGTCAAGAATTATGGAGTATGAGCTAAAATTTTTTGCTATGTAAGGTAAATGTTTGTGGAAAAAATGTAAAAATAAATAAATGAAAGAAAAAACAAAACAAACCAAAAAAACATTAAACAGTTAATCCACAAAGATCATTCTTTAGAACAATGTCTTCAAGAATTTTTATAAGTATAGCAATTACACTTTATGGAGTACTATATGAAATCTTTAGATAACAGAGAAAAAAATAGAAATAGATTGTCAATTACTCTCAAAGGGGAATTCATTAAATGACAGAGCACTAAAATATCTCTTTACCATGGATACATCTATAAGATGCAACTTGAATTTAGGTCAAGAGAAACCTAGAGAAGAGTTTTTGAAGGTAATTTTCAACTTATGTACAAATGCTGTAAGAAATACTAAAATTCAGTTAAGAGGATTTAGCAGATTTTCATGTTACAAATAAGTATTAAATTTCGTTTGTTTAATTTGTCCTAATGTGCGTTACAGATCAACTTAATTATGTGGATTTTACATAATTCCCAACCTAAGTGGATTTTAATCCTAGTTCAATAGTATATATTTATATCTATATTAAATTATTAAACCCCTATTTATTAGTTATATCTACACGGCCCCCATCAATACAGAAAGGTATATGTAATGGAAAATAGGTCATCCTGAGATTATTGCGAAGACTTTAAAAATAACGTTAATGCTGAAAATTTAAAATATAAATAAACTGACTGAAATGAAAATTGTAATCATAGCTAAAAAGTGTGTTTATTGAGGAGGGGGAGAAAGAGAGAAAGACATACAAAGAAGGGCTATATTCACTATTCTTTCCTTATCATTAAAAAAAAGTAAAAAAACCCAAAAAACTCATAAAGAAGTTAGGTCTATGTCATCAAAATCCCAGCAATAATCGCAGACAAGAATGGAAGAAACATTTTACCACTCCTTGATGAATAATAAAAGTGGCCAATGGTAGCCTTAGGAAAAGAAGAAATTTAAAAACTCACATAGAACACCTGACTTAGGTTGATATTAATTACTATTATCATTGACTTTTATTGCTCAAATTATTCTCTATGGTAGGGTAAAGAGTCTTCCTTTTAGACTCACTTGGGCAGTGTTTTCCCCTGCCTATCCACCAGCAGTTGGCATAATGGCTATGTCACTGGACTCCCATGTAGTTTACCGCGGTTTGAGTCCTGGTGGCTTAAACTGCCAGGCACATGTGTGTACATGCCCAAGATCCCAAGAGGGGAATGGAAGAGAAGGGATCGTGTTATGGCTATACCCTCTAGACAGGTGATTTCTCGATTTCTGTCTCTCTGTCTTTCTAGCTAGTGCACACACCCTATAGCAAAAACCTCTCCAAAAAAATAAAAAAAGGAAGGAACTCACAATGTCCTGTGTCAGGAGTACCAATTCTTTATAGGCTAATAGATTTCAGGTCACTCAAGACATGGCAATGTTTGCTGGGATTAATCAAAATGTACAATGAAAAGTACAGGGGTTATATTCCAGATCTCTTACACTAAACTGAGAGAGAAAGGTGGGTTTTCAATTTGTTATGTGACAAGAGTAAGTAAAAGACAAACTTATTTATGAGATCATTTGATCCTAGCAATGCATGGAAGTCAGTAATGCTGGCCAACAAATTCATATCTCTGAAATACAGATTTTTCTGAGTACTTGTTCTGGAGTTCTTTGGAATTCTTGCCAAACAAACCCATCTTAATATTCCAGTTCACATAATAAACAAGTTAGAACACTTGCAAGGTGAAGGTGTTTTCCTTCATGCAGCAGGCAAAACATAGCTCTAAGCTTATGTAGTAACGATAAAAGGATTGGGGAGCAGCTGATTTTAGGGACACATAAAAACAACTCACCCTTATGCCCCAAGGTATAAAGAAATGCAGAGTGTGCATTGTGCTTCCAGTGTCAGGACAAATCACTCTGCCTTTTTTTTTTTTTTTTTAGTGATTAACTGATGCCAGTTGATGAGTAAAGGGAAAAATAAATGTTAGACTAGACCTGTGGTTCAGTGAGATGAATAACGCCTGTATGAGAAATCATGAGCATTTTCACATTATGTAGCCCTTTAGGTTAATTTATATCATCTTTAAAGAATGTAAAAAGAATACATTACTAGTTACCTGTGGAGGCTTCAAATTCTCTATTTATGGTTTAAATTCTGTGGGAATTTACAGATCCTAGTATCCTTTTTTTTTCTTTTTGAGAGGTTTTTGCTATAGGGCGCGTGCGCTCGCCAGACAGAGAGAGACATAGAGAAAGAAAGCGAGAAATCACCCCCAGGGGGGGATGGTCACGCCGCAATCCCTTCTCCTCCATTCTCCTCTCGGGATCTTGGGGACGTACACACACGCGCCCGGCGTGAGTTCTAAGCCACCGGGTCCAGAGGCGAACCGCGGTCGACTACGTGGGAATCCAGCGACATAGCCATTACGCTAACTGCTGGTTCCCCAGATCATAGTATCTTTAAAAATAAAATTTGTGGAAGAGAAATAAATTCTAATGTTCTATAGCATAATAGAGTAACTATACTCAACAATAACTCATTGCATATTTCAGAATAGTTAAAAACAAGATTTAAATGTTTGAGATGATGGATATGCTAAATTCTCTGCTTTAGTCATTATAGAGTATTTCTATATTGAAAAAAAATCACACCATACTCCATAAATTCATACAATTACTGTGTCAGTTTTAAAAATCTATGATTGGGGGCAAACAAGTGAAGGGATGAAAGTGTGTGTAATACCTTTCTTCAAACCAACTAGGGAATGATAAATTTACTTGCAAAAACAAAGTATCTATTGGGTGCTTGCTAGGTACCTTTCTGGCTGACTCTTAGGAGTTCACATTTACTGCTCCAACCGTTAGGAAACAGATCCTTTTATCTCCCTGTCACAGATGAAGAAACTGAGGCAGAGGGACCAGCAGTTAGCGTAATGGCTATGTCGCTGGACTCCCATGGCGTCGACTGTTTCGCGTCCGGACCGGTGGCTTAAAACTCACGCTGGGTGCATGTGTGTGCGTGCCCAAGATCGGAGAGGAGAATGGAGGAGAAGGGATTGCAGCGTGGCCATCCCCCCTGGGGGGTGATTTCTTGCTTTCTGTCTTTCTGTCTCTGTCTTTCTGGCGAGCATACGCGCCCTATAGCGAAAACTTCTCAAAGAAAAAAAAAGAAAGAAAGAAACTGAGGCAGAGACACTACATTACAAAGCACATGAATCTGGTGCCAGGATTTGAACCGAGACAGTTTTTTCAGGCTCTGTATTTACATGTGACTGCCTAGGACACAAGCTACTTCCATGGGACTATTTCTAAGCCATTATTTTCAGGCGGCAGTAGAGACAGTGTCAACGTTTAAAATGGCTCTTCAATAAGAGGCCTGAAAACAACCGGCCCTGAACATTCCCAGCTTCCCGGTGACTCAGAAGTTACTCAGCGCCCCACGCAGCAGGGCCGACTTCGCGGTCGCCGAGCAGCGCCTCCCCCCCCCCCCCCACACACACCGGAAGTGGGGAGCGTTTTCAGACTGAGGATGCCGCGCGGGGCGTCTGGCTAGGGCCATCTCGGTCTGAAACATCCGAATTCTGGACCATCACGATCTTCTGTGGGGATCGTCCCGCTTCCCGTATTGTGTCACAACCAATCTGTTTGGGCTCCATTTTCTCAGATTTGACTCACATATTTTCGTCTCGCTAAGGAGCCTTAGACAATCTGGCGGCGGGCCCGCCGCGCATGCCGGAGGAAAGACACG